GTGGTCCCAGCTGGCAGGGGCTCTATGGAGCCAGGCTAGCTCCCCCCTTTCCCTGCTGGTGCAGCCCAGCCCAGCCCAGCTCCACAGACCCCTGCCAGCCTGCACCCTGCTTTGGGCCCCACCAGTGCTAGCCCTGGGACATTGGTCCCAAGACATTGGTCCTAAGATGGTGACCAGGGGGCGGGGCAGGGCTACCCATGCGGCCCTTGACAGCCTGCCAAAACTGGGTAAGCGGCCCTCTACCCAAAATAATTGCCTGCCTCTGCTCTAGTGGCAAGTCACAACGGTACAGGTGGGGGACAGTGAGAGAGGGTTTCTAAACTACAGGTGTGACTCCTTCCAACTCCAAGCTAGCACTAAGTCGATCAACATTTGTTTGGTTCAGTGTACAATGTGTAACAAGGCCCAAAGAGGCATTATCAGAAAGTCTAAGACTGCTGCAAACCCCTGCTTTTAGCATCCTGCCACAAGCTTGAGCGTCACAGATAAGAAAGCAGAACATTAAAAAGCTTGCTGCCTTGCAACTGAAATGCTTAAGTCTCCTGTAGTATGTTAGTTATGCACTGCATATGATTACCAAGTAAGCAAGCATGCATGGTTACCACAATGAGAGCAATATCAGATATTACCTGAATGATCAGAGAAAGAGCTTAAGCTTGTGGGATATGGAGGTTAGATAAGCAGAGGGAAATTGCCAAAGCAAATCTTGCAGGGTGCCAGGAGCTGGGGGGGGAACAGGGAGAAAGAGAAGGGGAAGGGCTGGACTGGGGTGCCCCAGCAAGTGTCATTTGATGATATAATGGAATAGATGGAATGGTGCATGGCACACGTCACAAGGCTGTGCAAGCTATGAAATATGCTGGCCCATTGGTTTCGTACTGCGTTTACTGCTTGTCATGACAGACTCTGGTGCGCTGCACTCAGAGAGAGAGAAAAAAAAGAGAGACAGAAATCAACTTATGCTGTCTACTGTGACTAGATGCTGCAAGAGCAAGTGTGCCAAACCAGCACTAAAACCCTTCAGATCCAAGGTGTGTTGACTAACTTTGTTAAAACAAGGGATTGCACAAAAATATAACCCAAGGGCATGGAATGAGTTATCATCATAGTTATTATATAAATGGTTGCTTCATTTGCAACAATTAATTGTGATGCCATACAACAAGTTAAGAGATTAAGCTTTAACAAAACCAGCCTAATTTTATAATGTATGTTTTCACATACAACTTTTGTTACTTTTAATAAATCTAGCTCAAATGCATTTCCTTATAAGAACGTAGTAACTGGACAGCAAAATACCATAAGTCCATTATGATTATTACTACATACAAGCCATATAATTACCCTTCTAATGCTTACTTTAATGCTGTCACCTTCAGCATAAACTACAATTGAATACAGAGGTGGCAAGCAATTTCAAAGAAAAGAATAAAATAAGCAAACGTCTGGAATTTAGACCACAGCAGTATGCAAGTTTACCCCAACTAATAATGGCCAAAATGCTCACCATCATTTAGCATTTTCTGCCTGATTTTCAAAATCAGGCAGAAGTTTGCAAAACTTTCCAAAGGTAAATAAGGCCTGTAAAATTATGGAACACTTCTCAAAGTGTAGCTGCATTTAGTTTTAAAACTTCATCTACACCCACAGAGGAATAGGTACAAATACATACATTTATTTCTTATTTTCCAAAAAGCAGCACTTACAGTACTATTTTTTTTTTTTTTTAAAGGAAAGAGGTAGAATAGATTTTGACCAAACTACAAGCTGAAAGATGCAGACATCCACCTCCATATGTATAGGCAGAAGGCTATATTATAAAGTTAGTTAAAGTAAGTGGTTGTGCACATACATCAGTGTGATTCAATTCTTGGGCAAGTGTGCTGGAAGCACAATAAACAAAACAGTGGGACAGAGGAAACAAGCCATGTAAAAATAGTTTTCAATGCTATCAGTATTGTCTCCTACAAGTATTGCCTAAATTTACAATCACTTTGTTATTTTTGTCTGTGCTGCTCCAGGGTTTGAATTATGGGGGAGGCCCCTCATAAGAGACAAGAACCCCCATGTAAGATTTGCAAATCATAAGCAGGGGAGGGGGGGGGTGTCTTCAATTTTATTAGGACATCATGATAGGCAGCCCAAATTTTTGTGCAGACCACATTCCCAAAGTGCAAGTCAAACCCTGTGCTGCTCTGAAAAGAAAATATGCACATGAACAATTTTCACTGTAAACAAGCAAAATGCAGCAAATCTTGCTTGAAACCAGGCATTTAAAAACTGCTGCTGTTTTAAAGTTACCATCATGCAGCCCCGTGGTAAACATCACTGCCTTTCCAGGCTGCACATTGAGACCATGGGACCTGCCACATGACCAACCTTTCACTGCAGAACTGTGCAACAGCTTCCAAGCTATTTTTCTTTTAAATAACGATCTTCATTGTTTACAAAGAACAAAAACATGAACAAAGTCTAGCCCATGTATTATCACCCTGCATTTAGAGGTGCAAACTGCTTCATTCTATCTGAACAGGATATTGGCCCTCAAACCTAACATTGACATCTTAAGACTGATTAATTACTTCACACACATAATTAGTTTAAAAGTGATCCTACTAACACATTTTTCCTACTGGTTTCAAAAATCACACATCTTTCAGACTCAAGAAACCTCACACAGGCTGCTAAAACTTCCAGTTCTCTAACATCTTACCACCTCAACCCCTAAAATTAACCAAAATTCTTAAAGTAAACATTCATAGTGTAAGTGTTATTTAAGGGCAGAGTCAAAATTAATACAGCCATTTATGAGGATGGATATACAGGCATACCTCGGAGATATTGCAGGTTCAGTTCCAGACCCTCGCAATAAAGCGAATATCACAATGAAGCGAGTCACACGAATTTTTTGGTTTCCCAGTGCATATAAAAGTTATGTTTACACTATACTGTAGTCTATTAAGTGTGCAATAGCATTATGTCTAAAAAAACAATGTACATACCTTAATTAAAAAATTTTTATTGCTAAAAAATGCTAACCATCATCTGAGCCTTCAGTGAGTCGTAATCTTTTTGCTGGTGGAGGGTCTTGACTCAATTTGTAAGAAACGCAATATCTGCGAAGCGCAATAAAGCAAAGCGCAATAAAACGAGGTATGCCTGTACTGGCTGCATTATTTTATAGTCATTAAAAAAGCCAATAACTTCAAGCTGCCACAACTTCTAGTCTCCCTCAAAGTACCCCAGAGATCAGGAAACTTGCAAGAAAAGTTTATTCTTGATAGCAAAAAATGGTATTTTTGATGGCACGCATGCACACACACACAACCTTGGCAGTCAATCCCTAGATGCCAAATACTTCTGACCCCTGTGCCTTCCATGCTCACTTGTGCACAGAACCAAAAATTGACATCATATTTGTTATATTTATGTGAGCATACATGGTAAGCACCTGCAAATCCCTAAGAAGCTGTATCTTCCAAAATCCTGTGAAGTGAATGGAAAAGTCTACCTGATCTTTGAATGGGCCATTAGATTTTTTCCACTATATTTCTTTATCTTACCAAAAGCTGTTACCAAGTCCTCAAAATATGAAAGAAAGATAAATAAAGACAGGGAGGTACCTGTTCTCTGCAGGGAGATGTAGTCTTCAAATATAATTAAATTACCCTTGCCAGAGTGAAATATCTTGTAGCTGCAGTATGCTCACTGAACACATTTCTAAAAAGATGTCTGAATGCTATACGAAGTCAACAACTTAGTCTTCATTAATCCTTAAGGATCACTTCAGTATACTGTCTTTGGCAGGACTCCTGCTTCTGTATATAGTTCAAAAACCTGGGTGAACTAGTTTACTTTTGTCCAAAGTCTTGCACATAATATAATAGCATGGTTTTAAAAAAATATATTACTAAATTGGAAGATCTGCGGAAGCACCAAACTGTGCACTCATTCAGAGGGAAACACAATCATCTGAATGCCTCCTTCCATTCCCAAAAGCTTCTTTTAATGCACCAGTCTTGACAGCATCCCAAGATTACCTTTAGGTCATAAAAGTTCAGCAATTATTGCATAATAACCAATAAGTAGCATAGTCTTAAGTCTCTCTCTCCTTCATCAGCTGTATTCAAAACCACCATTTTATAAATAACCCTGCCAAATCTGCATCAGTAATGGAAAACTGGTAGACAGAATTAAGTATTTTAAAGGCAATGAATTCAGTTCTTTCCTGCTAACTGGCCAATAAAACAAGAAGCCCAGTCAACACGCTTCCAAAGACACTGTTTGAAAAGATGTCATTCCCATCCACCACTCCAGCACGACTGCAGCTGCTGAAACTGCCAGAAATATTTGTGTAATTGGGACTCTGGAGGGAGGGGGAAGGAAAGCCGGCCAAAGACAAAACCTGCATCCTCCACATAGTTCTTGCTTCAGAGTCCTGCCTGTCATAGCTAGCCTGGCTTCCCCCACCCCCCTCCCCTTCTCCTTCCCTTTTTTATTTTTGTTTTCACCCTGCTTCACGCACAGGAAGTCACCCTCAAAACGCACCATCCTGACAGCACAGCCTGTATTAATAAATAAAAATCCCTCCCGCCCGGGGGGGGCGGGGTTTGCTAAAGAGTCAAGGCAGAGCTGGCAGTGGCACCAAACACAGCCAGCCAGCCCACCCTCCCAACACCCGAGTGCTGGGATAGGCCGGGGTGGGGGAAGCAGGGGTGGGGGAGACCAGTTGCACTTGGAGGCAGGTGGCTTTTGTGCCATGCGAAACACATAAATGAATAAAACATGAACTAAAAGAGATGAATAAATAAATAAAATGACTAAATAAACGAACGGATTACTGAAGAACTGCATAAGCGCAGCAGGGGGCACGGCAGGGAACCCCGCCCCTCCCACCGCCGTGTAGAACCCTGACGCAGCCCCCGCCTCGAATCCCGCTGCGTCACCAATAACCCCCACCCCCCCTCCGGCCGCTGGCCCGGCCGCCCCGGGGGTCTCACCTGCCGAGCGGCCGCTTCATGCCCGCGTCTCGGGCGGGGCCGCCAGGCAGGCGCAGGCTGTGCCTCAAGTTGCAGCCGGCAGCCTGGGGCGGCGGCGGGGTGACAGCGAGGCGCTCATGCTTCACAGTCACGGACTCGTTCCGTTTTCTCATCCCGCGGCCAGCGGCAGCGCCTGGCTCGAGCTAGCAGCTCCGAAGGCAACGGGCGCTCCGCTACATTGCGGCCGCAGCGGCTCGGCCGCTGACAGGCCCTGTGAGGCCTGGCCAATCAGGGGCGGCCGGGAGGCCACGTGATCCCCCCCTCCAGCAGTGCTGCGGCTTGAAGCCAAGGGGAAGGGGAAGGGGGCGTGGTTCCGCTTGCCCGCACCAAAGATGGTGGCCGAGAGCCTTCTTTCGCCGCCACCTTGAATAAGTGTAAGCCAAAGAAGAGTAGGTGGCTGTCCTCCTCCGCGTTTTTCCTCCCTGGTTGTCATCTTAAGGACGAGCAAGGGAGTACGACCCCCTGAGAGGGAGGCCATCTTGAGTGAGGGCAAAGCAAAAGCTAAGCAGGGCATGTCCCCTAAGGTAGTATTTCTTAACCAGTGGGTCACCACCCAAAAGTGTGTCTCAAGAATGTATGAAAGGGTCGCAACCAAACTTTAAAAATGGGTTCTCCTTTAAAGGAGAAAAACGTGGCTTTTCCCTTGCAGGCTGACAGAGCTCAAGCCCACAAGGGGCTGCTTGGGGTTCCTCTTGCTCCACAAATCCCCCCCTCCCCACACACTGAGAGTTGCGGGGAGTGGGTCAGGAATGAGGGGCACTGGGTTGGGACTGGCCATTGATATTTACAAATGGGTCCTGGTACAAAAAAGGTTGAGAATCATAGGTGTAAGGCAACCGGGTGGATGGTCCCTGCCAAAGGGAGGTCAGTGTTGCTAGGCGTACAATAATTATTGTATATGTACAATAATTTCAACCTTTGTAGGCTGTACAGTCAATAATATGTTCAAAATGTACAAGAAATAAAGTTTGTAGCCATGTTGGTCTAAAAACAAAAGCAGTCAGTGTGGTAGGGGGTACACGGGTGCGCATGCCCTCCCCAATGGGGCTGGTGCCCCTCAATGGCCGACACTGACACTGTTGGCAGGGCTGGTGCACCCCCTGACAGGGCCACCACAACCACCACTGGCAGCTTCTATGGGTGCTCGCCAGCCCTGTCCTGCTGCCGACACCATCAGTGGCTTCTGCGGGGGCC